GCTACACCTGTAAGTTCAGTTGGAATTCGTTGAGCATTGCAGGTTGTGGCAGAAAACGCGTAGTTTACATTCTTGATATAAGTTTCTTTTGCAGTCAGTGCAAAACAAATGATTTAGAGTTGAGCCAGCTAGAACATAACATTGAATGAATGAATCACTGTTTAGGCTGCCTTTGAAATATATAATACATTCATTATACGATGTAATTTCTCTGCAAAAATCCTTAATGCATTCCTAGTATACGATAAGCTGTTGGTGTTTGACTTTGAACAATGCAAAAGTTAAAAGGCAGATACTCATAATCGCTGGGTATCTGCCTATCGTTTCCAGTAATTGTTTGATTTTCCGTTTTCATCGCGAATAAACAATTGTTCTTTATATCATTTAAGTGTACATGCTTTTGCAAGTAATCTAAACGTTTACGGTACTTACATACATACATTCTCTGCGAATGTCTGAGGCCTTAGATAGTTTCAACTCTTTCAGAACTCCCTACCTGAAATGACTCTCCTATGTTTAGCGATCTTCATTGGTAAGCAGATATTCCAATTTTGCAATTGTCGCAGTTGAATGTGTTTTAGGGTACATGGCAGCTGCGGAAGGCATGTAAGTTTTATGAGCGACTTACAGGGAGCAGGATCTTACCATATGAGCTGTGACGGCAGCGCACTCTCGCACTCCGCACTCTTGACTATAGCATTTCAGGAGCCCAGAAGATGTAAAGAAGCACACCGTGGAATCGCTCAGCGTCATTCCTGTGGGAGACGGTCATCACGGCAGAGACTTCTATAAATTGTAAGGTCAAATGATTGTCTTATAACATGGAGAGTAAGTTTTCAGCTTCTTCACAAATTATCCAGAGGTCCGAAAGTTCTACAAAGGCGCTGAAGAGTTCAAAGCTGATGATGTACAAAAAAGCGAAAGGTCTGTTTGCTTCATATGTCAAATCAAGTCTGCATAATTCCCTTCAGATTTGACAAATTAGGAGATGCCATACTACTTTTTGTGCATGTCTTAGCCAACACTTATGACAACGTGAGTTCTTAATATCATTGCATGTGCTTCACCCATTTGTTGTAAAGTGTTGTAAATACGATGATGCTGCTTCCAGGAGCCAGTGTTTCGGGCCTTCACGCGAAGAACTATGAAGGAACACTTTGACCGAGGAGTCGATCCTAAATATTGGAAGGTTAGTTAGACAAAGGGTGTTCTGAACGACTCTACTCCAAAGAAAATGCACAATCTAACTACAAAATT